TGCATGCACCCTGGGGGCTGCGGGACCCCCCATCCTACACCTGCAATGCCCTGCATGCACTCCGGGGGCTGCAGGAACCCCTACCCTGCACCTGCACCACCCTGCATGCACCCAAGGGCTGCAGGAGCACATGGAGGGTACGAAGTCTCCCCTACAGGGTGCCCGTGCACCCCTGCATCACCGTTTCCAAATTCCCTCAGTTTTTTCCTTTTTTTTTCTTTCCCCCCTGCCTGGAGCTGAAGCTGAAACAAAAAGGGCCAAAGAGCCACAACTCCTCTTGTTGGGATACAACTCCTGGTTGGGAGGCGACCTTGCGGGGCAGTGGGCACTCACAGGGGGTTATAACCAAATCTCCCTAAACCCCCCCAAATAGAATAAAAACCACCCTTCAGGAACAAGAGCACAAGAAGAAAATCACTGGGCGCTGCCAATTTGAAAAACAGGAGCCAAAATCTGGCCTGAAACAGAAAACTTTATAGAGTTAATTCAAGTTTTAAATGCTAGGAAGACCTGCCGGTCTTGTAGCACGGCTCAAGAAGGTGACGTGGAAGCGGCAGAAAGCCTGTGGTTAAAAATCCCTGTTGTGGGCAGCTGAAAACCATCCAAAAGGCTGAAAAAAACCCTCTGTATTGTTTTAATTTTGCCTGCAGTGCCTGGCCCTGGTTTGGTGCCTCCTGCAATTTTAGCACAGCCGAGAAATGTTTTTCCTCACTCAGTTATTAATGGCCATCAAGCCATTAATAAACCCATCTCTCAGGACCAGAAGAAGACAAGGCGGCTCACGGCAGCCCTACGAGTCAGCAAACATCAGCTCTGGGGAGCACCCAGGAGATCAGACGTTAAGAGCGTCTTTCTGCCGGCCCTTTTAAATGAGCGCTGGTTTATCTGTATGTCCGAAGATGGAGCAAAAGCCACTCTGCCCAACATTAATGGTGTCAGAAGCCCATCTGTGTCTTCTCCTGCAAAGATTGTCTATCCCTGGGGATTTTGGAGCGAGCCATTGCCCTCAGACCACATTCACTGCTGCCCTGAGCGCTCACAAAAGAGCAAAAGGAGAGGAATATTTTCAAAATGAATTTTTAAGATGAAACCGTGAACGGAAATTAAGTCTTGCAGGAGACAGCTGATTTTTAACCTTTTTATCCGGGAAGTGTATTATGTTCTGCAGCAGGATCAGCAGCCGCAAGCCTGCAGCCTTTGGTTCTGCCTCGTTCTTTCCTCACCTACATGGTTGTTCCTCTAAGCAAAGCAGAGGGCACACGCTCGTCTAAATTAAAGGCTTGAAAAACATGTAGGAGTGAGATGTGGCCCATACCTCATCTGCGGACAACCTCTGCCCTCTGGCACCGCGTCCCGCTGCCTCTTCCCAGCTGATTTTTGGATTAAATCCCTGTCCCACCGAGCCACAAACCCATAAAGGCAACGGCTCGGTAGAGGCTGAGCCTGGATGAGATGGTGAACATGGACGGGCTCAAGGAGTCCTCCACCGAGCACCATCTCCTTGATTCTCCAGAAACTCATCCTCGCTGCAAGCATGGCAGGAGGCTCCAACTCATCTTTCTGCCACCGGCTCCATCCTTGCCCGCTTTCCAGAGGATGGGTTGCTCGGCTCTGCAGCAGCACCTTCCATTATTTCTGACGTTGCCTCAGCTTTTTGGGTTTGAATAGATCAAAAACCAGCCAAGATGACAACACTGGGCGAGCTGTTTCAGGGGAACGGTGTTTTGGGGGAACGGTTCCCCCTTTCCGGCATCACCTCCCTGCTCCGCAGCAGGACGGTTCGGCAGCCGCATCCCCGCTTCCCGCAGCGCAGAGAGCACTGAGCATGAGCATGAACCCACCATCTCCATGTCTTGCCTCTTGATACCTTCTGTATATTTTCATACAAAGCTACGTCCATAGTGGTTTTGCTCTTTTGGGGCAAATCCAAGAAAAAACTTGCCAGCACCCAGAGGAACTGCAGGACACCCGGGAGTTACGGGTACGGAGGGTCAGGGGTGTTTGCTGGAGATGTAGGAAAGCACGTGTGAAATCCCACCAAAGGCCAGCGCGTGAAATCACAAGCTACGGAGATCTACGGACATCACCCTGATCCCCTTGCACATGTCATCGTACAGATTTTAATGATGGGAAACAGAGATAAAACTGGGGCAGGAATCCCCTCTTCCCAGAGGAGCATAAATCAACACATGCGAAGATCTCTGATGTTGCTGTAATTAGCACCATGGCAAAGCCCATGCAGTAATTAACTTTCTCCCTTCCAAGTTAAGATTTAATAACGTGTCGTAAAATAAGACCTGGGGCGACGAAACAAGCAGGGAAGAAACCCATCAAATTAGACACATATGACTTGATAAGGAATTAATTATACCCTGGTCTAATAATAATACTACTACATTGCTTTTAATCTGCCCTCGTGCTCCAAGTTAGGGAGGGTGAGCTGGGAAAAGGTGATTAAAATGTCCCGCATTGACTCCGAGGACCGGGTTTCTGCCAGCCAGAGGCTCAACCACGCTGGGATGGGGCTGAGCTACTGCATCTGGCAGAGCTGGGAGAAGAAAATCTAGGACAAAAAAAAATCCCGGGCTGCCAGAGAGCTGTCTCATACCTCCCATCCTAGCAGGGAACGGCTCTTCCCATGGGTAATCGGTGCTGCCAGCAGCACCGAGAATCTCTCAGGGCAACTCCCAGGGTGTGCCAGGGGTGTGGGGACCAGAAGGGAGGGAGACTGGAGGCTGGAGGAGAGGCTGTGCCCTGCCAAAGGGGGAACAAACCGCAGCGATGGCATGACCCAGTGACGGTGCTGGTCCCCAAGGGTCTTTTGGGGATGCAAAGAGGTCCTCCCTCCCCTTGGCAGAGTCACTGCAGCACCTAACCTGAAGCAGTAGGTTCAGACACTGAGATGGAGACTCATGAGTTGAAGGCGACCTGGGAGAACGTGGTGCTGCAGCGTCCTCCTCCACAGGACTCCAGTGAGGCACCCAAACCCCTCCCAGCCGCCGCGAGGGCCAGGAGGAGCAGGATGCTCTGGGGACTCAGTGCGAGATGAACAAATCAACACTAGAAAGGGAATAAGGAAGTTTAGAGGAGTTAGAGAGATTATTTTGAGAGCGTATGCATGAACCGAGCCAAGCCTGACGCACAGACTTAGCCCCGAATTGAGTCAGGCATCACCCAGCAGAGCTGAAGGCAGCACTGTCTTCCTCGGCAGTGGTTAAGGAGGGATGGGGCAACGCCCGGGAAGGTCACTTGGAGCTGAGTGACCACCTGGAACAAGCAAGGTGAGCGACCGCTGCACCCAAGGCCGTGCCATGAGAAACAGAGGACACCACTCTTCCATCACCACCTCAGAAGTGAGGAGAGCCCAACCGCAAATGTGGGTGGAGGTGGTGCTTCTTGGTGGAGCCCAAGTGCACTTGCGGTTGGGCTCAACCAAGAAGCCACCACCTCCACCCGTGGTGGACCCAGACCCCGGGATCACAATTCTCCTTCCACAAATGGTCCCCAACCTTCACACATCACCGGCGGAGGAAGAAGCTAAGGCCAGTGTGCACGTGCAACACCTTGAGCAGCACATAGGGTCACTACCTTGTCATCTCAGGGAGGTCAACAAGTCATGGGAGGATCCAACTGGATCTGACATTACATGCTGGGATCCAACCTGGACATCCCCTTCTCCATGGGTACATTCCCACCTCGGCTTCTTGCAGAGCAGGCGAGCTCCTGGAGGAGCCCTGTGCAGCTGGGCAGAGGGCGGACATCTCCTCAGCAGCTCTGATCTTTGCCTCTCCCCAGTTCTTGGTGGAAAAAGAGAGGCTGGAGATGTCCCACCAGCCCCACATGCCACCGAGTCTCCATGGTAAAGCCAAAGGGATGCTTGCCATGCAGACAGGACACAGGGCCTGTCTCGGAGGTCCATTTCAGATCAAGATTGATTTATTTCATTTTCTCCACTGCTCTGGCACAGAGGCATTCACGTTCCTGTCTCACCCTGGCAGCTCAACCACTCAAAGCCACAGGAGGACTGTGAAACACCCACCTTTTGAAGATCACCTGAAGCCTGCACAGCACTTTTGAGGATGGTCTTCCCAGAGAGGAGCGCTCCAGGTCACCCTGTGTGACAGACTCCGGGGTTCAGACCAGCTGGGACAGAGACCAACAGACTCAGGTCACAACAGACCTTTCTGTGCGGGGTTTCAACCACCCTTCCCAGGCCACAGAGCTTCCTACATATGGGCATTTTAACGAGGGGCAAAATCCAGCCCTGAAATCATTACCTGCCGCAGGTAGTCACAGTGAGGTACACCAGAGCCGGACAGGTAGGACATATTTTATAGCATTATCACATCTGCCCCAAGCATTTTTGCTTTTTGCCCCAAGCCCTCTTGGAATTGATTCCACCTGATATTATCTGCCTCTCGCTACAGCTTGGCATAAGTCAAAGAAATAAATTATTCAATTACTAGAAAATCCAGAAAGACTGAATGCAGAATTAGTCTCTTTAAAGCACAGAGCAAGTACTGGCGGCATCAGCATTTTTGTTTCTTGGTCTCTTTCCTTGCTCTGCCTTTGGCAGGGACTCTGACATATGAGGTCCCATATGGTCACTCGTGTCACTTGGTGAGGCCCTGGAAGTTGGGCTCTGTACACGGGGGCAGCGCTGCCTGCCGGCTCAGCAGCTTATCCAGGATGTTTATTTCAGCATCTCGTCTCTCAATGTCCTCAAACGGAGTCCAGGACATGTCGTGCTGGAGCTTATAGGCACCAAGAAATTCGTGGGGACTGGTCCCCCATTCCTGGAAGAGAAAGGAGAGATTCACATCGCTGCTCAGTTTCCCTTGGAGCTGGGCTGTGCTGTCCCTCAGCCCATGCTGGATAACCCTACCACCTTTGAAGCAGTCCCAGCTACGTGACCATCCCATTTTCTAACCTAAAAATAAGCTCAACTACCCCGAGTATGAGACCAGGTCAAGCTACAGTGCTGCTGATGCAGGGAGGCTTGCGGATACAAGATCTCCCCGACCTGCACAGAGCTCCTCTACGTGCTCGGTGCTTTGCTCTGAAGCCTTCATCCTGCACGTAAGAAAACAGGTTGCCTGGAAGGAGGGTACCTCCAAGACCAGCCCCACCAAACTGCAGACAAACTCACTCCCTGGACTGAAGCCCCTGAGAAGACTGTACTGCCAGACAGCCACACCGGACAGGGAAGGCCCAGGGCATGTTTGCAGTTCTTTACTTCCAGAGAAGGAACTGCAGGGACCGAAAGGCAGAATTCGGGTCCACGCACCAAAGGTCTTCTTGCCCACCATCCACCAAGAGCTAAGAGAACTTCATAATATGGCTCTTACACCAGCAGAGGAACTCAGACCAAAGACAAACGCAAACTGAGCAGGAGCCAACAAACGCCTCCACGAGTTTGTGCTTTTGTCTGAGGTCCAGAAGTGCCCAAGCACCAGAAAAGTGTTTTTCCCTCCCCTGCTTCCTCAGGGGCTGTTACCACCCACCTTGGGAGACAGGATGGAGAAGTATCGCTGGCCACTCTCCCGTCTGTACATGTAGTAAATGTTTCCTGGCTTCTTCACGATGTTGCAGGCCACATGGTGCAGATCAGCATCTCTGTTAGCTTCATCCAAGACCTAAAAAAACAAATTTAAAATTTCCACACTTGAAATAAAATGACAGCACACAATTGCCTCTCAGCCAGAGCCCAAGATACATCACTTGACACACCGCTCGCGAGGCCTCATCCTCCCCGGCACACATCTGGCTTCACGCGGCACATCTTTACTTGCCCCAGGAAGGAGATGCTTTCTTCAAGTTTCCCCTGTCAGCTGGACCTCAGAGCTCCTGCACCCCTCCACAGAGGTGGAGATCCCTCCAAGCATCAAAGACCTTTTCACCACAGCCCCAGGTTCACCCCTGTGCCTGACCCCACCACGTGCTGGACTTGTTCCTCGTCTCCGTACACAGCTGCCGGACCCGGGGGGCTTCCCTGCTGCGGTCCCCAAGGGAAGAGGAGAGCAAACAAAGGGGAATTCATCTCCCCAGTCCACCAGCTGACTGCTCCGCAGCTCTGGCTCCACCAGTTAACGATTATATGACGTAGTGGCCTTGATGGCAGCAGGCCAGTCGCAGTGACTGGCAGATCCTTTCCCACTCAGGCTCCGAGATTTCACCCCCAAGGGGCGAAGTCTGAATTGAAGAGGACAGCCGAACCCCACTGGGCTCGCTGCCGGAGCCACCTGCTTCAGCAAACGAGCCGGGACAAGCTGGAAAGCCAAGCCCATCGTCAGGTAACAGCTCATCTTCTCCCAGGGGCTCAGATCCAGCCAGGGCCACGTCGTCACCCCTGTCACCCTCCTGGGAGCACAGCATACACGCTACGGTGACAGGAGTTGCCTGTCCCAAAACCAGAGTCACTTCTCTGTCCTTTGACTCGCCGCCCTCGCTCCTCTGCCTTAACAGAAGTCTTCCCTGATGCGCAGAGGACTCAGGGAAAGCACCAAAACCATCCTCCCCTGTCCCCAGTTGATACCAGACAATAAACCCTCGTTATTTTCCCACTGAATCTTCTCTACTTGGCTTCTGGCCATGATTCACATCCAGGCCACAGCTCTTCCCAAGTGTCTGGCAGTTAAGACGCTAATCTCCCTCCCCTCGCAAGCACAAGGCAACAAACCTTCTGCCCAGCTCGCAGACGCGTCCTCACCTTTCGAGCCTGCTCCTGCAAGTACCGGATCTGCTCGGCGATGACGGTCAATTTATTGCAGGCGTTCGCTCGGATGAAGTCGTCCGCCTGTGAGGAAGAACGAGGTTTGTTCAGGATGGGGAAGAGCCGCGGCCCTTCGGACCTTGCCATGCTGGGTGCGCACTGGAAAAGTGGCAGTCGCGGCCTCACTTGAGGCTTTAACGGGGCTGTGGGTGGTGCAGGAGCCGCCCTGCATGCGGCTGGGGGCCAGCCATGGCACCCCCGGGCAGTGGGGTGACAGCCGTGGAGCAGGGACCAGGCACTGGGGGGGTGCCTGGACATGCTGGGTGTCAGTGGAAGGGGGCAGTAGGACTTACTGGGAGGCACTGGGGTGGACCGAGAGGTAGTGGGATGCACTGGGAGGAGGCAGTAGGACATACTGGGAGGCACTGGGGTGGACCGAGAGGTAGTGGGATGCACTGGGAGGAGGCAGTAGGACTTACAGGGAAGCATTTAGGTGGACTGAGAAGCTCTGTGGGGGGAGATACTGGACTAGGACATAGTACTGGAAGGCAGTAGGATGTACTAGGAGGCACTGGGGGGGATAGTAAAACATACTGGGAGGCACTGGGATGGACTGCGGGAGGTCACTAGGATGTATAAGGAGGCACTGGGGGGATAGTAAAACATACTGGGAGGCACTGGGATGGACTGGGAGGGGTACTAGGACATATCAGGAGGCACTGGGGCGGACTGAGAGGCACCGGGATGGACCGGGAGTCACTGAAGGGGGAACAGGACACATCAGGAGGTGCTGGGACGGACTGGGAGAGTGGCC